CAGAAGTCACTCCAGCAGTCCCCCACCAGGTGCTGTGGTGCCCTTGCTCTCACAGTACCCCAGCACCCTACAAGGTACTTTATGTTAACCTTTTAAGCTAAGGAGGAAGGAGAGGGTTTCCCTGAGAAATGGCTCCCTGTCCACGTTGGTCAAGTGCTTCCAGGCACCTGGCTGCTGCTAAGTGCTGTCTAGGAAGTCCCTATCTGCTCTGACCTCCCACTTCACAGCAGAGAAACAACCCCAGGGCCTAGAGCTTGCCTCAGGCACATAGGGATCAAGGCTGTGGGCTGGGCTAGGCCTGCAGCTGCCATCTACGAGCTGCTGGGGCCCACAGGAGAGGTGTCCCTTGTGGGGGCAGCAGCAATTTCAGCGTCTTCACATCATGTTAGATCATGCAGGGAACTTTGCCAGATGGTAGACGTCAGTGCCTGGGACAGTCAGAGCATCAAGGCTGGCACCTGCTTCATATTACGAAAATCAGAAAGGGTGAGCTGCCACTGGGCTTGGTTCCCATGACCCTCCTGAGCTTCCTGATATCACAGTGCCCCTTGGAGACTTTGGTGACCCCTGTATCTTCCCTACCTTGCAGCAGCCCTTTTTAATCTCTTCCAGTAACCTTATTCTTGGTGAGGAGGTGTGTGTGTGTGTGTGTGTGTGTGAGTGTGTGCGCGTGTGCGCACGTGCTGCCTAGACTGAAGGTCTTGGAGTGTTTGTGGTATTGTTGAGATGATTCTGTCCCCTTAAGTGCTGCTATTTTAGTGTGGTTGACCGCCCCCACCACCACCCTATCTCTGGAGGAAAGAACAGATGGTTTTCTGCGGTGCTGGTCTTCATAGGGTGCTGCAAAAGTCTTCCTAACATCACATCATGTCAGAGGCCTGGTCCTGTGTTGACAGGGAGACTGAGTAGAAGCCACACTAAGAGCCTGTGACCAGGGCTCATGTCCAGGATAAATCAAGGATGTGCTCCAATGGGTTAGAAACATGGACAGATCCCCCCAAAGAGGTGCTGCTGCTGCATGAGAGAGAAGGTGCAGGTGGCCTTGACCGCACTGTAGTGCACACACTGTTCTGGGGGACAGAAAATACAGATAAAGAGCACTACAGGGAGCAAGAATGCGCAGCGGCTGGAGCTCTGGAGTGACGTTTGGGTGCCAGTTGGCAGTCAGCCTGTTCCTGAGGAATGTGCCCCAGAGGGCTTGCTGTGGGCCCTGGGAGTCGCGTACAGAGCACCCTCCTGGAGGCAGCTCCGCCCCAGTTGGCTGAGGTGGGAAATGGCCAAATGTCCACCACAGCAGAGAGGAAGAATCAGTTGTGATCTGCTGAACTGGGAGCCTGGGGTGGCGGTGAAAACGAATGGAAAGGCCAGAGGCAGAGTCAGGGGCGCATAATATAGAAGCAGACTGATGAAGAAGACCAAAGTAGGGACTGGCATCAAAGTTGAGACCCAGATCCCCTGGCCAGACGAGCAGTGCAGCCCAGCCCTTGCCTGGTTCTCAGGTACTGCCCTTCTGTACCCCATGGCTCGGCTGTTTTGGGGGAGAACACCTTGTTGAAGCCCAGGCTGCCACCATGTGGCTTTGTCAGGACTTTGTTCCTTTCTTAACCAAGCGGACTTACAGGGACTGGACTGGTGTGTTGACATTGTCAGATGCAGGGTCAGAAGCTCTGAGGAGGGGCAGAGGCAGACAGGTGAGGAGCTTGCTCTGGCCAGGTAGTCTAGATCTGTTTGCTCACCTCGGGCTGCGGTTGTGGCTCAGTGGTAGAGCGCATGCCCATCACGAGTGACGTGCTGGATTCGATCCTCAGCACCACATAAAAATAAAATAAAATAAAATAAAATAAAAGCATTGTGTGTGTCCACTATTAAAAAAAAAAAAAAACAAAGGAACATGACCTTCCATGTGCTTAGGTGATTACCCCAGCCCTAAGTGCATGTCACATAGCACTTGGTCAGCAGTAAGTACCCAGTGACGGTGGATTCACATGGCCACTTCTGTGAGTTTTTAAAGAGCTGGACACATCCCTAGAAATTCACATTTTAAAAATTCAGAAGTTGGGTTATTAATAAGGTTTACGTGGTTAATGGTCTTCAAATGTATGGGGTTCTCTTCCATATTTTTTTTGAACATTTTAGTTTTTTAAAAACAAATTTTTTATTGTAGATGAACACAATACCTTTATTTTATTTTTTAATTTTTATGTGGTGCTGCGGTTCAAACCCAGTGCCTCTCATGTGCTAGTTGAGCCACAACCCCAGCCCCCCGTTTTTATTTTTATTTATTTATTTACTTACTTATTAGGTACTAGGGATTTAACCGAGGGGTGCTTCACCACTGAGCCACATCCCCAGCCTTTTTACTTTTCATTTTGAGACAGGGTCTCTAAGTTTCCCAGATTGGCCTTGAACTTGTGACCCTCCTGCCTTAGCCTCCCAAGGAACTAGGGTTTCAGGTGTATGCCACCATGCCTGGCCCAGTTTTTCATCTTCACAGAGCACCAGTCAAATGAGTACAGCCCAGAGAGTGGAGGCAACAAATTAGAAATGAGAAGTCCCCCAGATCTTACAACTGGCTTTAAATTCAAGAATTTGACATGCAACTTTTTAATTTACTCCTGGTTTATTTTTTACCAAGTGCTTTTTATGAAAGAACAAGTGTTTGTTGTTTTCTTGATGTATCTGCCACAATTAGCAATAGGTCCAGTTTCCTGTAATGCGTTGCATAACCTTTGTGAAGGAAATCCAAGATTAAACTCACTTTTTGGTATCCTAAGTAATAAAACATGGCAGGTCTTGTGGTTTGATAAATTAATAATTAAATAATTAAGATAATTAATTTTAAATTATAATGTCAATAAATGTTGATGGTCAAGTTAATGGCCCTCAAATATAATTTTGAAAACCCCGTGTCCTGGTGTCTTCAGATTCATGAGGAAATAGAGGACTGAGCTCATAATCCACTTTGGCTTTTTTCAAATAGCTCCTTACTCTCCTCTGAGTAGCTCAATTTCCTTCCGCTTCCTTTTTTTTTGGCAACATGGCGGAATTGGAAATCCTAACATACTGGGAGTCAGAGAGACCTAAGGCCCCGCTGGCTCCTCCAGAATGAATTTTAGCACAGGGGCACAGATGAGTAGGTGCCTGTGGAAAAGTGGGCTGAGCAGCACGTTGGCGTTAGCCACGGAGGCTGGGAGCAGACGGGAGAGTAGGAGGCAGCAAAGGAGCAGGGGCTAAAGCCAAAGTGGGGGTTGGGTAGAGGAGATATCACCCCGTGAAGGGGCTCAGTCTGTGGGTGTCCCTTGCCCTATGTGTGCCTCTGCCAAGAGATCTGACTTGGCTGCTGGATGTCCACTGGATCCATCTCAGCAGGGTGGGTGTGGCTGAAATTGATGCCAGTTGTGGGGCCCAGGGTCCTCTACACCCCCAGAACTTGGCCACTTTGCACCCAAAGCCACTGACAAATTGAAAAGAAAAAATGTGATTTGGGGTCCCTCCCTGCTTTGGGGAAGTGCAGTTGGATAGAGGAAGTCCAAGTGGGCAGAGGCTCTGCCTCTCCAGGTCTATGCTGAGTGGGGGTCTGCCCCTTCGCAGGTATAGAAAGCATAAGCAAGGAAGAGGGTCTCTTATACCAGGACACCACCTCACCAGGAGCCCTCTCCATCTGGATCCTGTTTCTCCAGCTAACCTGAAGCAGGCTGTCCTTAGCTTGACCTTGGGCCCTGAGTCTTCTCATCCCAAGTCAGACATTTCCACAGTGGCCAGAGCACCCCCTGCAGGCCAGGCCAGGCCAGTGTCTATTGGGTTAGGGTCAGTGGAAGGCTGGGTCTGGGTGGTGAGTCGGGATGGGAAGGGATGGAGTGCTGACTGCTGTGCCCAAGAAGGGAGGGACACTTAGTTAGGCTTGTGGCCTTGAAGGCTTGACTGAGACCCCGGCATACCTTAAAATGAAAATTTCAGTTAGAAGCAACACAGACAAGTGTCCTCCACTTCAGCCTTGAGGTTTATGAATAAGGAACTAGGCCCTCAGAGCTCACCAAGCACCTCACAGCCACTGGGGGCAGACAAAGCTGAGCATCCAGTGTATTTCCATGATTCTTTTTTTTTTTTAGTATTTATTTTTAGTTGTAGTTGGACACAATGCCTTTTATTTATTTATTTATTTTATGGGGTGCTAAGGATCGAACCCAGGGCCTCACACGCACTGGGTGGGTGCTCTACCACTAAGCCACAATCCCAGCCCTTTCCATGACTCTTCACAAGGCAAACTAACTCGAGCAGGTCCCAATTTGAGGAGATGTACTTTGTGTGTAATAAATAAAACTAAGCAGCTACCTCTCAGCTGAATTTCCCTACAGACCAGGGCAGGCGCTTGAGGCCCACACACGAAGGCCATGTAGTACAGCCCGGCTCCATGGCCTTTGGGCAGGTGTTCCCAGGTGGTCAGAGAGAATGCAGGGGCTAGCGCAGCACCCCACATCATGCCAGTGTTTCTGCAGTAGTAGGGGTGGTCAGGATAGCCCCACCACCCTGCACCCCTGCAGGGAATCACCTGAGGGAAACTGTCCTGTTTGCAGAGCCTCCTGGGTTTTAGATTTGGGGATTAGGTGGCCATGGGCCTGTAATTGCAGCCTAGAGAACTGGAATCGGGGCACATGGAGGATGCAGAGCAGCGGAGGTTCTTCCCACACCCGCATTTTAAAGTAGATGTCTAGTAAGTGTGAAGACAAAAGGTCCACGTGAGGTTGACGGCGCGTGACTGGCCAGGCTGCAGACACCTCTGGGCTTGGCCTGGGGGGCGGACGCCTTACCTGCACTGCCCCACGGCTGACATTCCTGTGCAGCTCTGCCCGAAGCAGACAATCAGGGCCACTTTACAGTCCCTGGTCACTGTGGGGAGCCCAGCTTCATGCCCTTCTGTGCCTTGCTGGCACTTCTACTGGTGCCCAGACCTCTGCCTCAGGAAGGCCCGTCAGCTTTGCTGTTGTGAGAAATCCTAATAGTGTTTTCTTCCTTCGGTTTATTTATATTTCATTTTGTGCACACTTTGGGGAGTTGATTGGAAGGACAGATCTATCCTGAAAACACTAAGCTGCTGTTATCGGTGGGGGCAGGAGCATCAGGCAGCCCAGCCCTCCTGACTTGTCCTCGTGCCGAGTGTCTGCATTTCCTTGCATTGTTTCCTTCATCTTGATAACTTGGCATTTTCTATGAAACATCTTTTTATATAAAAAGGGGTGTGTGTGAACCCTGCCTTCAGGTTCTCATCAAGTTTGAGAAAAGCCCGATGTCAAGGCTGCAGGTCAGCTGAGTGAGGACATGACCTGATCTTCAGGACAGGTGCACAAGGTCGGAAGGCCAAGAGGTTAGCTGAGGGGGTGCCTGTTCTTCACACAGAGCCCCTGTTGCTTTCCACAGCATGGCCTTGGCCCAGGGTTGGTCTTTCTGAGAAAAACACCCTGTGCCATTCCTGCGTCAGTGCATCTCTTTCTGGGGAAGAAAGTGCCCGGCATTCCAGGTAACAAAGTGCTGTGCATTCAGTTGAACTTCAGTTTCCTCTGAGCAGCTCATCTCCCAGGCTGAGAGAGCAGGGAGGGAGGAAGTGGAGCCTCCCAAGTGTCCGTGGCTGGCTCTGGGCCCCAGGACTGGGCCTGGGGCACCCTCTTCCCTAGGCCTGCGCCATCACCTGCTGTACTCCTGCGGGGTCCAGCGAGCAGCGCCGCTGCCCACAGTGCATTTTCTTTATCAGCCGACGGAGTTTGCTGGGAAAGTTTTTGTTGATGTAGCGGTAGAGAAGTGGTGTCACAGAGCTGCTCACAAAGGCCAAGAACTTGGATAAATCCTTAGCAAAGTGCAGGATCCCCAGGTAGTGCCCATCTACAGGCCTCCCTCGTGAGACCAGTACCATGTGCCCCAGGAGGCTCAGATAGTATGGCGTCCAGAGCCCAAACTGCGTGCACACAGTGGCTACCAGAAGCCTGTGCACGGAGGGGTCCAGCCTGCCTGCTTCCTGGTCCAGGGGCGTGTCCTCCTTCCGGATCCGTGAGATGAGCACCAGTGCATACAGCACAGCCAGGCCCGGCACTATGTAGCCAATGAGCACCAGGAGGGTATCTGCAGCCTCTGTGTTCTGCATCTTGGCACACTCCGTGATCCGGGAGGACACGTGGCTGCAGATGTAGAAGAGCAGGGAGGAGAAGCTGGTCAGCAGTGCCCCACCCCAGACAAAGCCACACACGTGCCGCGTGTTGTAGACGCTGGCCATGTAGGTGCGCGGCAGGGCCCGCTCAATGTAGTAATCGAGGCTAAGCAGGGCAGTGGAGTACATGGTTACCAGGGAGGCCACATTGAACAGGATCAGCAGAGTCACGTGGGCCTCACTGCTGAGGCTCCACAGTGCCCACCTGGAGTAGGGGGGACCCAGCAGGTGCACAGGGGCCAGGGCCGTGAGCACGAGGCCCGCGACAGCCATGTTCACGAAGTACACGTCCGGCATGGTCATGCTGCTCTTGTTGCTCAGGTTGGCCAGCACCAGCAGGGCATTGTAGCCCAGGCCAACGGGGACGCCCGCCACCAGATGGAGCAGCGAGAGGACCCATAGCCCTAGGCGCAGATCCTGGCACAGCTGCTCCTCGCCCTGACCCGTGCCATTGAGCAGGCCGCAGCTCCACATGGCAGCCTCACCAGGCTCTGCGGTTCTGTGGAGAGAAAGGACACTCGGTCACTCCCTGTCCCCTTGTTCAGCGCCACCAGACTGCTGAGCCAGGAAGAAACCGCCCTCTGTGTGTGTTCTATGAAAACAGGTCCCAAGCTGGGCTGCTGTGTCCCCATCTCTACAGCAATGCCAGTGGGTGCGGTGAGGCTGCTGAACCCTGCTTTTCTGAAGGAAACGGTGTCCTGGGTGACACACGATGTGACAGAAACTGCTCCACGTACTCTCCTGCCTAAGCCACAGCTGAGCATGGGTTCCTCTCCACCTGCAGAGAGCTACTACCACCTCCTGGCTCGGGGGGTAGGGGGACTCTTCAGGGTTAGAATCCACAGGACTCTGGGCACCTGGCAGTGCTAGGGCACCCCAGCAAGTCCTGCACGACAGGCTGCCTCACAGGGCTTCCCCCCTCGTGTAACTGAGTGTGATGAGCATCTGCCACGAGCTTGGATGGGAAACATAGCCTGTCCCCTGCTAGGATGTGAACACGCACGCCCACCCGTGTATACCTGCCGTTAGCAAGCGCACAAGCAGACGGGTAGGAGGACAGTGCATGCAGGCAGGACAGGAACGTGCCACGTGAGTGGAGCTGAGAGGGCGCCGTGAGGAACAGAGCCGCACAAGGGTCACTACTGGAGAAAGTGCATGGTGTACCCTGGAGCCCCAAGGGAGCCCTGGTCGGCTTCTCAGGGCTCACAGCCTGCTCCTCATTGCACCATCATGAGGCACAGCTGAACTCTCTGTTGGGTGTCCTCAGGTTTGAGGGGTGCCTGTGGGAGTCAGCCTGGGGATTCCCTCTATCAGAACACCCCAGCCTAGGGCCTGGCCCCTTGAAGCAATGCAGAGCCTGGGGACACAGCTAGTCTTGTAATCGAACAAGAAACTGGCAAGTAGAGGCATAATATAAACAGAACTCTCTGCTGCCTAAGGACAGATGCCCTCAAGAGAAACTTTACCTTTGGAATGTAGTTTGGCCCAACCAGACTCCTGTTCTGGGAATAGAAAAGCGTCTCAGGCAGACACAGAAAGCAAACATCGCCGTTTCCCAGAGTGCAGGGACAAAGCGAGGAAGCCAGGCTGCCGGTGTTGGCACTGGTCCCGCCCGCTGTGGGCCCCGCCAGGAGGAAGCTCTGTGACCGCGTGACAGGCTGTTCCCCACTCGTCCCACAAGTCCTGCAGGCATGCACCAATTGTCCCTGGCTCTCCACTGCTTCACTGGGTCATGGTAGTGAGCAGGGAGGGACCCGCCACCCCAAGGCTCACACCAGACAGGTGGGCCACAGCAGGGCTCGGGTGGTGATGAGGGAAAGGAAGAGCCTAGCATCAGCAACCACTGAGGGCATCATGCAGTCCCCCAGCATGGGTTCTCCTGCTCCCTGGGTCATCCCCCACACCGGCCTCAGCTGTCCTTGTCCCAGAGTCAGGTGATCAGAATTGGGCTGAGCAGGAGTTCCTGTTCAGAAGCAGGGCCACAGTCCTCAGGTGCAGGTGTGTGTAGGCAGGTCACAGTCCTACCAGTGCCCCCTGCCTCTGGGACAGTGAGCACTGAATGGAGCCAAGTGCCCAGGGCTGGGTGCATGCAAGGCAGCCTTGTCCCCGCCGCCCCCCCCCCCCCCAGGACAAGGGTGTACTCCCATTCTCCATGTGGACCAGTTGCTGCTCACTCTCAGACTGCAGTCCCTTCACCAAACCACCCTGGCCAGCACCTCAGGGACTGGTCCACTTGTGGGATATTGCTATCTGGTCTGACTGAGCGGCTGCCCCTTTTCTCTTTCCCCCCAAATGCCTGATGGCCGGTGTCCACGATTAAATGCTGCCTTCAGGTACGTATGGTTCTTCCAGGCTCCTGCGCACTGCATCCGGCTGTCGCTGGAAGCTAAGCAGCAGCCCATATCCTCCGGCCCACGGCTGTGAATCCCCCATGAAATGCACATTCAGTGGCCACTGCGAGTGGGTGTCAGTGGATGGCTTCTCCACCCACTAGCATCCTGGTCTTGCCTGGTCACCAGCCCATAGCCACATCCCCACCAGCCTGGCTTCACATGGCATACAAGAACCCAAGATGTCCCTGTGATCAGAGGCTGTGTAGACTGCAGGTCTCTCTGCCAAGGAAGGGCCCTCCACACTATGTTGGGCACTGTGTCTCCCAGCTTATTTACAAGTGAGCCTTGGAGCTGCGCACCACATCTGATAGGCCTGGTCAAGTGCCCAGGTCCCTTTCCCTCCCTCTAGTACAATGTCCCTGTCCCTGGGCTGTCTGGGAGGCTCCCTACCTTGCTACTCACTGTGCCACAGCTTCCCTTGCCCCCGTCCAGCTCTTGGCCCCCAGCAGTGCCAACCATCGGCTCTTACCTTTATCTCGTGTCCCGCGTTCCTTGGTGGCGTGGATTCCAGACACCGGCAGCACGCAGCATGGCAAGGCCGAGGCAGCCACTGCAAACCAGAAGGACCTGTTGTGTCTCTGGAAGCCCCACTGCCGCCTCCTCAGTGGCCAGGCGGCGTGGGCTTGCGGGTGTGTGTGTGAGGGCCTGCCACACGCTCGTGCCCGTGGAGGCCACTGCTTGTTTTCTTCTAATAAATTACTCACAAAGTTTCTGCCTCCCTTGGCAGCCGCAGCAGCCTCTCCCTATCTCTGTTTACAGCTGGTTTTAAGAAATGAGAGGTGGCCCTTGGATGGGTCGGCGCTCCTGGAGCAAGCGTTCAGCTCCTCTCACCCTGCTTGGTAGACATCCAGGCTCCCGGGGCTGGCTGGGCTTGTGTGGAGGCTGCGGTGGCACTTCCCCTGTGCCCCTGCCTGCGTCCAGCCCTGCAGAGTGTCCTGTGCCGGGCCGGACCAGGGCTGGCAGAGCTGGGTCCGGGGTCCTGCTACACAGCATGGTTGAGAAACTCAGTTCTGAGTTCCCTCTTCCCTTGAGGAAATAAACTGAACAGACATTTGTCTGTAGAAACTAAGGACAAAATAGTTGGACCTCACTGAGACTCTACCATAGAGAGACTTTGGCTGCTTTCATTTCAGACCCAGGGACACAGAGAGCTCTTTGAAGGGCCAGGGCAGGCTCAGAATCTAAAGCATGGGGTGGAGGGGCCGCGCCTGCAGCACGCACCCTCCCAGACACCCCAGCCTGCGCGGGTGGTTATCAGTGGGGATTAAAGAGGAACAGCGCAGAGGGGGTGGAGGCCGCCTGAGGTTCCCCTGTCACGGGCTGTGCCTGGCGGGTCTGCTCCCTGCTGTGCCCTCCCTGCAGTTGAGTGGGGACAGGGCTGCCTGGAGCGCTAATACCTGCCACCAGATTAGTGGAGCAGAAGGAGAAGGAAGCCTGTGCCCTGCCCAGGATGGCTCCATCCTCGGGAGCCTGTCCGGCCATCACATGGAACAAGTCTGTTTAGAATCTCTTGGGCATTCGTGTGCTGGCATGACCTGGCCCCTTGGTTAGAGAGCAGCACCATGTGGAGTGTGTGTTTGCACCGGCTGGGACATGTAGGAGGAGACAGTGGCCTCTCCGTGTTAGGTATGAGCAGCTTCTAAGTGTGTAAGAATTTATAACTTTATAGGTTGGAGGTAGCTTCTATGTATAGTTTTCTTCCACGTCAATTATAAGGATGTTTTGCTTCAAATGAAGGTTATAAGCCCAAAGGTATCTATTTTTATCCATGTTCGGTCCATCTAAAAATGACATTCTTTTTGTTTTGACATGACCTCCCAAGAAGCACCTCCCCATACCAGGCTGTTACTTGGAGATCCTGGGAGCAAAGTGACAAGTTCCATCCCAGGCTGGCACTGTCTACAACAGGGACATGTGGAAAGAGGAGGCAGCTGGAGAGGGTGGGTGGGCACTACCACAGCCATGGAGGCCAGCCCCCAGTCAGAGATGGAGAGTGACACTCTGCCATTTCCTCTGTGGCATTCAGAACACGGGTCTCTGGAAACTCAGTGGCGCCAGCGTGAGCTCTCCACCGGCAGGCTGTGGGCCGCAGCTGGGGGATGGACAAGATGAGATGCCGCGCCACAGAAGCACCGCTGCCTCTGCAATTGGTGGAAGAGCTATGACCCTTGGGGCTCGGGGAGACAAGTCAGGAAGTGTTCCCGCTCTCCCAATCACAGGGTGATGAGTGACATACTTCCTCCCATTATCACGTAGGGCTCCAGGGTGCCTGTCCCATTCAGGCAGTTGCCACACCATCTCCCCTGCCCATGCTCTGCCTGTGTTCCAGCGAGGTTTGTAGTCCAGGCTGGATGTGCCCACCATGCCACAGAGGGGCTCTGGAGGGACGCTGGCTGTGAAGGGCAGAGCTATCGGACTTACTGGCCTTTCCTGGTTCCTGTTCCCTGGCTGTTTGGGGAGGAAGGATGTCCTGCAGCTGGGGAACACGAGAAGGTTTCCACCCTGCAGCACAGGCCTCAGGACCTGGGCTGGGCTGCCCTTCACTTAGCCAGGCCTTCTAAGAACTCACTTCATGAGAACCTGGAGCCAGAACCAGGTGGTGGGAGATCGGGGACAGGGGAGAGATCCCCCAGTGGTCTCCTCAGAAGTGGACTCGTCCCTGAGGGACTGAAGTCCGAGTTTGCTGTGACAGGAGGTTCTGGTGAGGACCCTGGCTAAACAGAGATGTGGGCGAGAGCAGAGAGGCTCATCCCTGAGCCCATGCTGGGGCCCTTCTCTTAGCCTGGCCGAGGCCCGAGGCGCAGAGCACTCCTGGCACTCGCTCACATTCCGCCCGTCTTCATTTGGAGAGTTGCCTGCCAGATGGCAGGATTAATATCAGCTTCCAGGCCCTGCCACCTGCTGCCATTCCCTTGCCCACAGGGCCCAGGTCAGCAGGACCCCAGTAAGCCTGACATTCTCAGACCAGAAGAGTGTGTCCCCGCATCCCTGAGGCCCCAGTCACAAAGCACTGCTCGCCCAGCTCCCGCAGGCCCCAGCTAATAGCTTCACATTTCTGGAGTCTTCGGAGTGGCTGTGCTGCCTCCTGCTGGAGCCCTCCCACCCGCCCTGTCCAGCAGCCTCCCCGTGCTGTCCTCCCACCAGGCCCTGCTCCTGTCACCAGCTGGTTTGTCCACCTTCCTTCCATTCCTGTCACCAGCCTCTCCCACCCCTGAAACCCTCCCCCACATTTCCTGCAGGACCTGCCATACTCCCTATTCCCACCCAGGTCCCACACCAGTGCCCACACCTCTCAGATCAGCACTGGGACCTACACTTCTCAGGCTAGGACCCGGGCCAGCCCCTAACCCTGTCTCCCGTCCCCTTTCCCCTGTAACTCCCCTGGTGTCCCTCCCCTAGCCTCTGCCTGGCAGCCGCTTGCCTCTGCTGACCGTGGCCCGTGTGGCTGAGCCCCACCGCAGACGCCAGCCCTCACACTTCAGCGGGACCTTGGTTCTCCCCCTCCCGTGCGACCTCTGCCTGGCTGAGGGCCCGGTCTACTCCCAGGTGGCTTTTCTGAAGGTTTGAAGCTCCAGTGTGACCAGTAAACAGTCCGCAGTCATGCTCTGACCCCAGGTGCAACTTCCTTAGAAGGCTGCCCTAGAGGACATTCGGCAGGCCTGATCCCTCTGCTTCCTGCCCCCAGCTCTCTGTGGGAGGGACAGCCTGCCAGCCTTTGGGGTTCTGGTTGAAATGGTGCCAAGGTCGCTTCCCTTCTCTGTGACAAGCCAGGATGTGGCAGGTCAGGCTGGCTCAAGGAGGCTGCACTGGCATGGCAGGTGCATTGCCAAGTTTCCACTCATGAACTAGCTGTCCTTCCGCTTGGAACCCCCCAGAGCCCCTAGAAGGACCAAGTGACAGCCCACCCCCGACCAGGAGCAGGGGGAATGTAGGGCCCATGCGTGGATCTTGGACTGTCCTCAGTGTCCCAGTTACTGTCATGTTACTCTCTCCCTGAAGAGAATTCATTAACCATATGAATGTGACACATGCCCTCTTTCTTTTTTGTCCTTTTAAGTATATGCATAAAAAAGAAAGTGTGCATACCATGAGGCCAGGGCCAGGCCTCATGTGAGTGGATACAGAGGTCTAAGGTTCCAGCCAGTGGGCCTAGCAGAGGACAGGAGAGGGAAATGGGAGGCCAGCCTCACTGTAGCAGAGAGGGGACAGAGCCCAAACAAACTGGCCCATGAAATATGAACAGGCTGACTTACATGCAGCTGAGCCCTGGGCTCACCTAAAACTTTAGCCCATCCAGCCTGTGGCCTCTTCTCCTCTTTGTCCCCAAGAAACTACTTCCATAGCAACAGTATGCACTTCCATGTATAGCAACAGTATGCACTTCCATGTGCATCATAGGGAGCTGCAGTCAGAAGAGACAACTGGAACTGAGGTGCCTACAGGAGGCCACCCTGAGCTTCCCAGCTGTTTTTCTTTACACATGTGGTGAAAAGGTGCTGAGACTTCTGTCCATGCGCTGGGTGGGGTGCTGGGCAAAGCCCAGCGGGAATCCTAGTGGCCTGCAAAAGCAACCGCCCGCCCCTGTAGAGGAGAGCTTGATTGGGGTAGCACAGCCAGAGGGTCAGGGTTGCAAAAGTTACCCAGGCAGAAGTCCACAACCCACTTGTGGCTCTGTGCATTCCTGTCCGGGCCTCTCTGCTGGCTTCTGGGTGACCTCAGGCTGACCTGTTGATCGTGCTTTCTGAGCCCCGCAGACTGGCATGATAATGAGGCAGGCCTAATTATTCACTGTGGTGGACTGATCAGGCCGTTGGGCACAGAGGTTGCGGCTCCCCTCTGAGTATACTAGGGTCTCCAGGGAATGCACCCTTTGGGGCTCCTTGTCCCTTCTGGTCTGAGGACTTGGCTGTTTCCGTAGCCTCTCTTTCTGGCTCCTCAGCTGCAGTCTGGGTGTCTCCTGCTGGACAACAGCTAATTGTTGGAGCCCTGGGTGGGGGAAAGCTGGAGCTCCTTCCCACAGGGCCTGCTAGCTCCAGTTATCTGCAGGAAGGTGCCCCCACCTACCCTCCAGCCCCAGTGGGCTTCCCCATGGCCTTCCCCTCGGCATCCCTCCTCCTGAGCTGCTGTGAAGCTTTTGAAAAAGAAAACCCAGGAAAGTCTGACTCCAGGGCCTGTAGGGACTGGCAGGGTGGTGTCAATGGCGAGAGCAGAGCCCTCCTGCCAGCTGAAGCAACCCTTCCAACTGCTCCCTCGTGGGCCTCAATCTGTGTTAATGCCTGCCCAGGGTGGGTGGCTTTCTGCTCACTCTAGTTTCTTCTGAATTTCTAACTGCAGCCCCTCCAGCATGCCAACCTCTCCAAAAGGCACTGTTGGGCAGCTTGAGGCATCTGGCTGGTGCACTCCATAGCACCAAGTCTGCCAGGTAAGAAGTCCCTGATCAAAGATGGGCACAGGCAGGCCTGGTGGAAAACAGCCTGCAGAACTCCGAGTCCACTGTATAGCACCACCCGCAGCACCTGTGCTGACCAGCAAGTCCACGTGCTGGCTGGTCTGGAAGGTCTGGGGCCCTGGCAACATGAGTGCGTGGTTGATCACTGCCACCAGACCTGGCTGATGGAATGGGACAAAGATAGGGACCCTTGAACAGTAGCTGCCATCCCCAGCTAGGGCTTCTTGCCCAGACAGCTGGGCTACTGAGCAAGGTTCTTAAAACAAGGTACCACCAGCCCAAAACTTGGTGGCAGACACTGACTGACAGTAGGAGGACTGGCCCAGTCCTTGCTCATCCCATGCTCTGTGAGGGAGCATAAAACAGGGACTCTAACAGACGGTGCTGAGTGAAAACTTTTGCCCTACAGTGTGCAAAGAGTCACTGGGTCCCCCCTGGGACCCAGCAAGGGACCCCTGTTGCCTACAAGAACAGATATACTTAATCCTAACATTATCATGGGCATTTCCCTAAATGGGAAACTGAGGCACAAAGTTAAAGGGAGCGTACCTTCATTCTTTTCTGCTCATAACTTAAACATCTCAAGGCTGTGTGGGCCTCTGAGTGGGCCCGTGTGGGGCCTCTCTACCCAGCACTCTTATCTCTGCTGAGGCCATTAGACAGCTCTGCAGTGACCTGCTTGCTCTTAATAGGCACAGTAGTTAAGGGGAACTGCACCCACATTGCTCAGGACCCCAGACCCACCAGCAGCCAGCATATGGACCCACTAATCAGCACAGTTGATGCAGGGTGGGACTGTGCGGAGAGACTCAAGTTAGAGACAGCATGAACTGGCATAGAGGATTTTAAGGGAAACTCCACCCCCCAAGTGTCCCTGTGAAGGAAGTACTTGGGATTTCAGGCTGGGGGATGGAGCTGTGGGGATTTGCATACCAGTCTTTCTGCTTATAAGCTGTGAAACTTTGGCTGCCTCTGTGCCTCATTTTTCTCACATTTAGAAAAAATCCCCGTGAGTTTATAAGAGAATTAAATACACCCATTCTTAAAGCACAGAAGGGTGTCCTGCATCTGCTGACCCTAGGCTGGACCTGGTGGTAAGAGGACTTGGCTTTGGATATTTAGTCTCCTCCCCAGCTCTCATTAGAGGCAGAGGAAGCCAGTCTGTGACCTTTCACTTAGAATCTTTGATAACTGACACATGGAAAGAGGAAACCATAGCGAAGGTAGAAATGACAACAACATGAGCCCAAGTGACAACCATGTGTAAGCACCATGAGGGGGTGGGTGGAGCCACCAGGGTGAATGCAAGAGGAAAGAATCCAGAACTCACACTGTGGGGACCTGGCTCACCGCAGCCGCATACACTGTCACATGGCAGAGGCTTTGCAAACATGGGAGTCTGTGCTCTGGGTTTGGGCTTTGGTAATGACACAAAATGGTGTGTTTCCTGATGTTGCTCTGGTATTAAACTCCTGTGTAAATATTCGTTTCTCTGGTGGTATTTACCTGCTTTCCAAGGAACGGGGATCTGGGGAGAAGAGCAGGATTCAAGGGTCTCAGTTCTTTTCTGCTCATAGCTTAAAACATCTTGAAGCCCTCCATGCCTTTGGTGAGCTGCAGAGGTCCACGTGGGGCCACTCTATACAGTAGACATTTCTAGCTCCCCTGAGGCTACAGGGAGGCACTGCAGTGACTCCACTTGCATTCACAGGTGACAAGGATGAGGCCACATTCAGGCTAGCTGTGAGAAGCACTGTAAGGTGAGATGTTGACATCTTTTTTCCTGTGCTTATTTAAAAAGAGCCCCTATGGTATAAACCAGCTTAATAGTGAATGTATTGGAGCAACAGAATGACCAGGGCTGAATAAATAGTGATCCCCACTGGCAATGAATGGCCAGGAGTGGCTCTGAGGAAAGAGCCCCTGGAGGAGACCAACTGTGGGTGACAGAGTTAGCAGAACAAAACCCCACAGGGGAATCTCCCTGCTTCTAGGTAGCTGAACTAGCGTCCCTAATACCCTGTCATTTCATTTCTTTTAATCTGGAAATTCTGTTCTCTGTTTGTTAAGGACTCATTAAAATCACAGCCTGCCACTCCCACACTGATGAAGTCCCACTAAATCTCAGGACATCCTTTTTCATTGTTTGAGGCCCATGCCAGGGTGCCCTCCCTTGCTTCCCCTGTTCACCCCACTGTAGTTCTGGATCCCAGCACCTCCTTGGCCACTATCTCCCCTTATCCTCAGTCATTCATGCTGAATTAAGACTGTCTGCATAACAGTCTTAATTTTGCTACTAATGCAGAGCCTTTGCAGGTAGGGGAAGTGTCTCTGTATTGCCCCAGCAGCCTGGCTCAAGGTCCAGATTAGAAAGGACAGCAACCAGGTGGGGTTGCAGTGCCCCTGTTACAGGACAGTGGTCTTGTCTGTTTTGACTCCTCAGAGAGTTAGATTTTCCTGCAAATAGATTTACAAGGCCTGGGAATTGCATGCTGAGAGGGTTAGCGGGAACCAGTAGGTACGCAGCTCTGGTTGTGTCTGTTGGGAAAGAGACTTGTTGTGCACAAGACTCTCAACTTTGAGTGAATGTTCTGGAGCAATCAGTGTGCTCTGAAAATGACTCCTAGATATTGATTTCCTTTTGTGATAATAGGCAGGGGCCCTGGCAACAATGAACACGCAACTCTAGAGGCCAGATGCTCAGGGAAGGCTGATGTTGTCATAGGTTTTTTTCCAATGTGGAGAGCTGTACTCACTGATTCTTGTCACACTGTGTCTTCCTGGGGTGTGACAAGAAAGCTTCATTATATAGATGGGTGTTCTATTTTTGTAGCATTTTGCTCTTTATAGTTCTGACTGTGGAGTAGTGAGAGTGAACCAAGCAACCTGGCTTAGAGGCATAAACAAAAGGGCTTGCTCTCCTTCTCCATGGGAAACAATGAGCACGTTGCTGGCTCCAGGAGGCTCTGGGGGGACTGAGACCAAGCATCCTTGGCCAGGGAGCAAGCTGGGTGCCTATGCAAGGGACCTGGGGCTTTGTTCCCTGGAAGATGGGACACACGTTCTTTGTCATTGGAGTACTAGTTCCTTGGACTTTCCTGTTCTCAAGCTAACTTGGTTTGAGGCCCATGCTCTCTCCAGCTACACCAGACAGGGGAAAACCAACCAAACATAAAAGGCTTTCTCAGAAATTTAAGGACCAGACTGAAAACAGATAAAGTCTCCCCTTTCAGACTCTGGGCAGGTGTGGCACCCCATCTGGCTCCCTGATCACCCCAGCTTTTAGCGAGGTGTGGTTCTACCTGCAGGGAAGGACTGGGAGCCAGAGATCTTATCCAGCCTTGGTGGTTATTTTTACTTGTCACATTTGGTCTAAAAGTAACAGCTGCTGGCTTAGTTTGCTCTGGTTCTAATTAAGTTGGGGGAAACTCTTGGCCATGCTCTTGTATGGAAGAGACCCAGGCTGGACCTTTGGTGTGTCACTCTGTCTCTGCTTTGTTTGCATGTGGAAGCTCCTGGACTTGCTCCTGAGTGACTAAATTCTGCTCCTCTGCAGCATCTATTTTAGCATCTCATGTTAAAGAAAAAACTTAGTATCCCTAAGCAACTCCTTAAGACCCTGTCTCTAAATAAAATACAAAAAAGGGCTGGAGATGGGGCTCAGTGGGTAGGGTAAGCTCCTCTGGTTTCAATCCCTGGTACCAAAAAAGAAAAAAACCATTTTACCCTCTAAACTGAGCCCTCTCATTCTTTGATAGTGGGCAGTGTTTTGGGATGATGAGCCCTTTGAGAACCCATAGACAGGTGCAGCTTCAGGCTGCCCAGCCAGACCAGTGGGTTATGAAAACTCAGCTTTCATCTTAGGGAGTTGAGAAGGCAGCAGGAAATAACTGGGAAACACTTTTCTCTAAACACTATTTAGAGAAAGCAGTATCCTTTGATTGTCATGTGCACTTACACAGTGGACCTGAGGCTCTGGGTGGTAACACCCCAATTCAAAAGCACGGCCTTGATATACGTGATTCAACAGTGTGGTTGGGTCATTAAAGACCAGGTGAGGTTACAGTTTCAAGATTCCAGAGATATCTTCTCCAAAGAGTTCCTCCCCCTGCCTGGTGACCAGCATGTCCCTCTTCCTACCTGTAAATTACACAAGCATATTCCCCAGATAAATTTTGCAAGCATGTCATTTGTTCGCTGTTAAATAGATATGTCTGTCTTGACATCCTAACCTAAACCTTACGTGTATCACAGTAGGTGAATGTTTATTACCTTTTCCCATCAGCCTACTAGGGGTCATCAGTTACAGGGACACCAGGTCACCTTTGACATTTATATTCTGCCCTGAATCTGTGGTCCTATCTCCTTGGGATGTTCCTATAGTTATGAAGGCAGCAGGACTATAATTGGATGCATATGTGGCCCAGGCAGTGGGCTTCCTGTGAAAAGGTACATATGAACTATTCCTAAGTCCACTTGTCTTTAGAGGCCATCTTCATTCAGGAAGACACCGGAGGTAGGATCTGGACCTTACAGTAGTAAGGAGCCACACAGCAGGCCCTGAACAATGTAACTGTATACTGGGTGTAATTATTAATAGTGCCTCTTTTAACTTGGATGCTCCAGTTAGGAGATAGAGTATCTGGTCACCATTATGCATGAGTAGCCTAGTGACATAGTCAGAACCATTTTATTCACACAAATTTGCAGGGGCCTTTGAACATACTGAAGATATGAAGGGAAGTGGGAAGTACATGTCAAGCTGCTCAGGATAGAAGCTGGTTATTTAAAGTGGGATGGAGATCTTGAATAAGTATGTTTCCATAGAAAAAAAAACCAAAGGTGATAAATGTTGGTGCAGACAGCAAATTTAAAATTATCCTCAGGTTAGCATGCACAGTAAAGATGACTGCACACATTAGGAAATTCAGGGGAATGAATTTTAAGGTTAAAGAACTGATTTACCATGTTTATAAAAGTAACTTAATATTCGTTTCTGATCGCTAGTATTAAGGTGGCTGGAGAGCACTGCCTTCCATTGAGGCTCTGAAGAACCCTTCTATGCCCTATCAACTATTGGGGACAACTGACACTTCATCTCCTATCATCATGCAGACATGGTTCCAAAGTGTACTAAAAAGCTTAAACATTAGAGGGGACGAAAGCGATAACCATAGTGCCCTGCCGGACGTGTGAAGGTCCAGTGGCGGTACTAGGCGCCTACGTGGGCAGCAGTTCTGGCCGCCGGTCAGCAGGTTAATGACCTCGTGCCCGGCCCCTGGCTGTCCGTCCCCAGTGCTCAGCGCGGCTCAGAGGCAGTCCCCTCCCAGCAAGCGGACAGGGTCCCCTCAGGAACGGCGCGCGGACCGGCAGCGGGACGCAGAAGCCGTGAGTCCAAGCTGGGCACCAGCCAGGGGAGCCGGCGCAGTTCACGGTTCGCTCCCCGCGACCGAGACCTGGAGCCTGCCTGACCGATCCGAACCGAGGCCCCGCTCCCGCGCCCCACTCACCGGCTCGCTGGGCGACGGCCCGCGCACTGGCCGCAGTCAGGCTGGCAGCTCCGGACCGAAGAGCAGCGTGGCTCGCGGCGCGCACGCCGTCCGGGCCCTGTGTACACACGTGACCGCCAGCCCCGCCCCGAGCCCGGCCCCTAGCAGCGCCGCAGCGAATCCGCCTCCCGGCCCCCAGTAGCTGTGCCGGGGGCCCCTCTCCTGCCCTCCCCGGCGTCCCCGACCCTGCCCCCAGCAGAGCTGCCCGGGCCCTGTCCGGCTCTCCCGCTAGTGAAGTAGGGGGTGATCCGCGCGTTGGCGGTGCACGCGAGACTCGCCCAGAGACGCAGACTGACGGTCTGTTCTGAGAGATTCCTTGAGACTTCTCTAGGTGCCCACTCAGTTCCTTTTAAAAGGTATTTTTGCCCATATTTGCTGAGTCATAAGATGCGCTAATCGGCACGGAACAGACCCCGCCACCCTCTGAAGGAAATGAGTCAGTTGCAATCTGTCCCTTCCAGATACACACGCCCCTCTTTCCCAGAGTTTGCTAGTTCCAAATTCATCCATTACTTCCCGGATTTAGGAGTTTCTTGATACACTGAGCTGGTCACTGGAAAGCCTTTTAAAGAGACAGCACCTCCTTTGAAGCCTGAGCTACTGTTAAATGTTGGAAAAGTTGAAAAAATACATTATGATGAAATGGAGAAAATTTTTAAGTGCATTTACGAATATGTGAAACTGAACACCACTGTTATGCATGACTATAATGCACTGGAAATAACTGTGTATGAATTTTTAAAAGTAAAAGATGAAAAAAATCTCCAAGCCTTTAAAAAAAAAAAATACACATTCATTTACTTGGCTGTAATTTTTGTAGTGAATTGTACCATAGCAGCATGTTCTGGTCCAGGATGTAAAAGGATTTCTTTTAAAAAATCGAAGCCTGCAAGTTCAAGATTTTGAGGTAGACTTGCTATGTCGCCAGGGGTTGAATGGAACACATAATGGGAACAGCCACAAGGCTGGCCCCGTATTTAAACCTGAGCACCTTACTTGGCCAAGGTCAGCAAGGGAGGCTGAGGTCTGCTTGAGGTCTAGGAGCAGAAAGGCATTTCCCAAACATAAGCCCCATACCAGGCTCTATAGCAGGAACCACATTTGCCCCAGAGCACTAGGTGCTGCTCTTGCCAAGATCAGTTAAAATTACCTATCAGTGACACCTGAGGCTCGTTTTGAGCCAGCTTTTGTTCTTGGCCTCAGACAACCTTTTGAGGTACATAGTTCTACATTTTATCAAATCTAAGACACCACTAATGTTATATGCACCATTATTTTATGAATTACTTTTTTAAAAAATCCCCGTCCTACCAGTTAAATTCTGACACACTGTCAATTTTAAGAAGGGGTTTTTGAGATGCTGAGAGAGAAAATGTGCCTTAGCATTGATGGATTACAGTATTATTGTCATCCTCATTTTACATTTAATTGAGGACACTCGAACAACTTGCCTAAGTTCATGCAACAGGTAATGGAGCCAGGGTTAAGCCCAGGTGGTCTTCGGCTTTCAAGATTAGGTTTGAGACCTGGGGTCCTTCTAGCAATCTGCCCAAGAGTAGCCTTGTTATTTCCAGTGTATAAACAGCCTGAGGCCTTTGGAGTCCTGGTCAGAAACGGGGCTGTATTGCCCATCCCTGGAACGCCATAGGATGTTTGTGGCTGGGTAAGTGTGCAGCTGGCGAGTGCTGCAGGTTACTTGGGCCAAGCCTCCCACGGGCTGCCTTGTCTGAGGCACCAGCAAACCAGCCAGGGATGGGAGCAGAAAGTCAGCAGTGGACTAGGGAAATCTTCAAAGTATGCCCCTTCCAGCTGAGCCCAGGAAAGCATCTTCCAACCAGGACAGAAATATACTCCAGAGGCCAGCAGCCTTCACTGTCTGCTGGCAGTGCCCTCCACTGCAGGCCAGTTTCCACAGGAGACTTGTCCTGAGGGACAAGGACAGAGATGGGTATAGGAAGTGTGTCTGGACCTGACTCTTGGTTCCAGCTGCATCCTACCCTGCCTATGGCCTCCTCTCTCCAGCATCTCCTGGTTTGTGAGTGGAGGGGACCACTGCTTCCCAGCAGGCCAGGACCCCAAGGGATACTCTCATTGATGGCCAGGCTTGGTGGCAAAGGGAAGTGAAGCTGTCTCCAGCCCAGGGCATCTGGGGTTCTCTAGGTCCCACCTGCGAGCTGCTCCCTGTGCACTAGCTCCAACAGATTCACAAGGGTCACCTTCACCTATATGAGCTCACCCTGTCCCTCATAGCCACTCTACTTCCGCAAGTAGTAGGAATCAGTTTAGCCCAAAGTCATGCCGAGAAGGGAAAAGGCACAGGTTAGTGGACACTTCATGTGCTAATGAGAAACACCAGGGCTGGGGCTGCCCATTGTGCAGCTGAATCTTGTACTAGGAGAAGGCTGGGGCCTTGGATGCCATTGCCAGTGCTGGGGAAAACAGCTGCTTGGAAAACTGCTCCTGTCTGCAGTGTCAGTTGGGGTGAGAGGGATGTGGCATGGGGGCGTTGTACAGATTTGTATCTCTTGGTGGAGATGATCTCATTGAATCGTGGGTTAGCCCCAGGATGTTACTGAACTTCCTTGTGACGCCAGCTGTTAAACCCCGTTGCCTTTTGCATCTAAGAGATAGAATTGATGAACAGCATTAACAGTTCCCTAGCCCCTTGCCCTTTGCTGTTCTCCAAGGTTGGAGGGTGAGTCAGGGTTCCCTGCTTTCCCTAAAACAACCTGGGCACCCTCCACTGCACTTCCTCTCACACATGCAGATGGCAGTGTGATTCTGTCCACTGAGGTAGAATTCCCAGTAGCTACAGGAATCACTCAGAGAGGTCAGGCTCACCAGAGATGCACAAGTTCCTGGACCACGGCAGAGGGAGACAGTGCATGCCCTTCGGGGCCAAGTCAGGGTGCTTTGGTATGACCCATCACCAGGGTATCTTGCACCCACCAGGGGAGGCTCTATCGGCTCTATTTGGCAGGAAGGGAAACCCTGACTTTGGAGGGTCCCCTTGCTCCCACTAGGACCTGCTTGGAAAGAAGCCCACACACTCTACTTCTGTGCATGAAGATCAAAGAAGGAGCAAGAGAGCATGTACTTCCTGGTGCCACAGGACACCATGCAGATCCCAGCATAGCCCTGGGATGCCCAAGTTCTTGGTTCTGTGACCTGAAAACTAGCCACTGGGCAGGAGCTGAGGGTGGGCTGCCATGCCTGACCTGGCAATAGGGAGCTCGCTTCCCCTTCCAGATACGTGGGTAAACCCCAAGCTCAGCCATCGGATAGACAGGTGGCCAGAGCCATCCTGTGGGCTGTCCTGGCACTTAATGTCCTTATACACTTCCAAAGCTGGTGCCTCGGTGGCTAGTTACACCACCACCGCCACCACCCCCAACCCCGTGATTCAGCGGACACATCACAGCCAGTCCTGAAGAGGAAGATGGAAGATTACTGGGAAACTAGAATCTTTATTCTAGGGGTATCTTTTCTCCTTGCAGACCTTTAGTCAAAATTAAAAACAGTATGCCTGAAGTGCTTCCTTCCTGGGGGTCCACGAGGGGAGAGCTACGAGCCCCCCTGGTTCCTGGTACTGCACCTGCTCATCTTCAAGCCTGCCCTCCCTGCCCATTAAGATGTGGGCTGCTAGCCTTGGCCCAGGAGCCAAGACCTCTGACACTAGAAGGGCAGCTGTCTCCACTGGTGGCCTAGACCAGCAGGTGCAAAAGAGGGCTTCTGGCATGTGCTTTGTCCAGAGAGGGCTTCAGATGGCATTGCAACTGGGATTTCGAGAGAATGGTGAGGTTTTTGTCCTCCCACTCCCTCTTCTCCTTTTTGAACTGGGGGTTGAACTCACAGCACTCTACCACTGAGCCAAATCCCTAGCCCTTTTAATTTTAGACAGGATCTCACTAAGTTGCCCTGGCTGGTATCAAACGTGGGATCCTCTTGCCTCAGCCTCCCAAGTTGCTGGGATTACAGGCATGTGCCACTGTACTCAGCTCTTTTATCATTTTTGAAAGTTATAGATTCTTAGGAGGTTAGAAAAATAGCAGAGTCGTCCCTGTTCCCTTCACCCACCTTCCCAGTGGCTCAGTCCTAACACAGCTCTAGCTCATTTTCTACACCAGGATCTTGTCACTGTACTGTGTGAGCTCTGGGCCCTTCATCCTTGTGCAGGCTCCCATTGGTGCCATGAATGCGGGTGCAGGGCCACCTAGCACCACAGATCTTTTCAACCACACTGTTCAGCTGTGGCCACCTGCCTCCTGGCAGCCCTCATCTGCTCCCCATCTCTGTATTACGTCACCTCGAGAATGTCTTACGCCTTACGAATGGAATCAGAGTGTGGCCTTTGAGATTGACTTTGTTATGACTTTACATATAATGCCCTGAGGTCGCCCAGCTGCTGTGGTCTCAACAGTTGTTCCTTCCTGTTGCCAAGTAAAACTCCTGGTGTGGAGGTGCCATGTTTTAACCACTCACCAATTGAAGGTCATTTTTTTGTTGTATCCTTTTTGGTTGCTACAAATAAAGCTGCCATAAGCAATTATGTCCTGGATTTTGTGTGGACATTAAGTTTTCGTTTCCTCATTGCTGCATGATCTGGTATTTCATGTTAGATTTTAATAATTGCTGAGCTGTTTTGCTGGTCGCTGTGTCCCTTTATATTTCTACCAGCAGTGGATGTGAGGTCCGGTCTCCCACATCTTCGTGTTGTCAATGTCGTAGTTGTTCTGAAAGCTTGCGGCAGTATCTCTGTGGGGTCAGTCTTTGCGTGTCCCTTGTGGCTGTGATGTTAAATTCCGTTCTGTCTGCTTATGTGCCATCTGAATGTCCTCTTCAGAGAAATGTCTTTTTCTCATTTTCTACTTGTTTACATATTCTAGACAGGAGACTCCTGCTACGATACAGTTTCTAAAAATTCTGTCCCCCTACATAGCTTGTCTTTGACATCCTTTTGAGTTCTTTTGCAGAGCAAAAGATTCTTCAATTTTGGTGAGGTCTAATGTTTTGACTTTTAAATTGTATGGATCTGTT